GATTTGCGTTGGTGAATCTGTGCTCACTTTGTATAAACGAAATCTTTTGAAATGTTGGTTGTTGTTGTTGAAGTTAACGTCATCAACACATCAGGCACCAACAGGTAACGTCTGTTTCTCTGCGCATTGCGTTTGTTATGAGGAGTAATCATTTATACAGGGGCAAGTTACAAACGTGTGATATCTATATTTTTTTCAATCAAGTGAATATACAATTTTTTTTTTGAAATTATGACAAAGATTACCCGTGGATTTTATATTATATTACGATGTTCATTGACACTCTTAACCTATACTTAATTTTCAGAGAAAGGGTGAAAATCTAATTCGAAACAATCTTGTATGGCCCATTTGACTATAACTCAATTTGTTTGATTCTATTATCAAAAACGGCCACTTAAGAATATATGTTAATAAGTTTGAAGTCTATAAGAAATATCGTGCCAGTGATTTTTGATGGATAAAAGAAATGTGAATGACTTGTACAGCTATTTTTGCAGGCGATGATACTGACCAATAAATCTAAAATGATATAGTTTCGTATATAAGAAAGACTTTGATGTGTTTTCCATTCCTTCTGGTTTATTCTGCACAGCTGTGGCATTGGATTAAGCGGGTGCGAGTTTAGTCACGTGCTTTGTAGGCAATGCACCTGTGTGAGTAGCCACGTAAATAGCACACGCCATTTACTGGTGAAATCCAGTCTTCTTAAGTATAAAAAAAACACGTGATTTTATAAATTAAGGTTAAATTGTGATAACTACAAAGGTTAATCTTGTCCTTGAGCTAATTTCTGGTGGAAATTAGAAATTAGGTTAAATAACCCCTACTCCCACAAATATATGTACATATACACTATTACACTTATTTTACTAGCCCTCAATAACATCTTCTTTCTAAATTGTTCTTGCCGACCAATTTTAGTACATGAGATAGTCGGTAGTAAAAAGTGGCGCTATTTAATCGTAATTTTCTGTTACGAAAATCAAAACGTTGCAAAAGGATTTATTCTAGCTAATATCAACTTCCATCTATGTACATTTAAGAAAATCAACGTGAACGGGATATTTTGATCTCAAAAATCTTTAAGTATAAAATTCATCATCCAAAATTATATTGCATATGTCTCAAGATATTTGGTTTGTTTTAAAATAGTAAAATAATTTTATAGTGTGACAAATATATTCTTGTCCTTGGTTAATAGACTAACCCGTATTTTTACCCATGGCAAAAGCGTCCATCCATATTTAAGGATTTTAAAGAATATTTGTATAAATATTTTCTCTGAAAAAGTCACTTAATTTCGCACACAACAAATTTTACTTAGGAAGCCAACTTGAGCATGATATAAGGTTTTGAGAATTGTATTATGCTACATACCTAAATCGCTTTTTTTTTCACAAACGTAAATCGCATTTACTTTCTTCTTTCTCTCTCTCTCTCTCTCTTTCAGCAGTAAACGATTGGTGATTTGGATAAAATGATGGATGTAAGAGGTTTAATGAATACTGACCAGAACAGATTATGCTTACAGTAAGTAAAGGATTGATATGCTGACTGAGATTTAATCGAATACCTTCTGTGACAGTTTTTGAAACATCTTGTAGTTTTAAATGCGAGTTTTACTTTATAACGAAGACATCAGATATGACATTTAAGTGTTTGGAAAAATATCTATTATCAATAATTCCACAAAGTCAAATGTTTAAAAATTTGGTTACGGGATATCTTGGCAATATTCTAACGTAATGTCAAACCACTCTTTGCCTTTCAAGTAACAGGTTTATGCTTACATAAACGTGTCTCTTCAAATTACATGAAATTAATAACCAAACGTACATCAATATAACTAATACTATATTTCCGCAGGTTATAAAACAAGTACAGGGTGAAAAAGGAATAAAATATTAAAGAAATTATAACTTTATTACATATAATGAAGGTTTATTTAGCGAAAGACGAAGTAAAGAAGAAAATCTGACGGTTCTTGTAAGAGCGGTGAAAACGTTTTTGTCGAACATTAAAGTACATCGAGTTGAAATATAGAACAAAAACAACGTCACATAGAAAAATAATACAAAATCATCTTCAGTACTTGAAAATAGTTACAATCACTGACAGCTTAGTTCGATAGGTACAACGAGCTATACATTTCAGTTTATAGTTATAAATATTTATCCAAGGAAGCCGTTAGGAAAACAACGTTTTTTACAGGGACAGTCCACAAACAAATCGTTTGTAGCTATTACGTATGACATATACTTTGAAGCCAACTTTTGAAACTAGGATTTTCATATGACATATACTGTTTGAACATCGCTTTCTTCGTGTATTCGTTGATTTTAAATTGTTTATTTCAAGACTTGTAGGTTTTCATCCATATTTACTAATTAGCCATTCACCGGCGATCTAAGCCTAAAGATAGTGAGTGACACTGCAAGTATTTCTAACAACTAAAAGCTAAATGACTTAATGTTTTTTAAATTTATGTTGAAAATAACTGATGTTATGGGTGGTATACGAAAAGGTCGCTAATGATACGACCTTGAAACTTTTCGAAAAATGAGTTAATTTTTGTCTACGTTACGAAATCATTTTGTAAACCTTTTTAAATAACAATATAATTTACGAAAGCAGGTGGATAAATATTTAAATACTGATTGTTGCGCGATCAATTTAAACTCGCATTCAGGAGTCAGTCCAGTGTAAAAAAAAATAATTGGAGGAAGCATATTATTAAAATATTTTCATAAAGTTGCAGAAATTTATGATTACAGTAAAAAAAAAAGCTTGAAAACGTTGTGTGTGTGTGTATATAACCCTACAAGTTATATATATGAACTAAAAACATTTACTCAAGATAGATTAATGACGTGCTTCGTCATTCTAATGAAAAATGAAACAAAACTTGAAATTGTAGCATAGAAAAAGTTTCCCCTTCGTTAGAACATTGCAGCTTCGACTATCTAGTGTCCCTTACGGCCATACCCGCTTATCCTGCGGGGCAGCCGGTCGTCGTTTTAACATGGCGCCGGGCTTTTTGATCGATTTTTATACACTCACCCAAGATGGCATCTCCGGCTTTATCGCTTAGCTGTTTCCGTAACAGAACTTTAAGTGAAAAGTAAATATTGTCTACCAACTACTTAATACACTTCTTTATTTATAAATTTGTATAGTGATTTATAATCTTATATTTCTGTCAGGTATTTTTCCACATCAAACTCACAGTGACCGCATCGTAGCACAGCGCAATAACAGCAGGGGTAAAACTAACTTCCATGAATGTTGCATTACTTTAGGTTTCAGTTACAAAATTTGATACGACTCCGCTCACAGTGACCGCATCGTAGCACAGCGCAATAACAGCAGGGGTAAAACTAACTTCCATGAATGTTGCATTACTTTAGGTTTCAGTTACAAAATTTGATACGACTCCGCTCACAGTGACCGCATCGTAACACAGCGCAATAACAGCAGGGTTAAAACTAACTTCCATGAATGTTGCATTATTTTAGGTTTCAGTTACAAAATTTGCTACGACTCCGCCGAACTATTCTGATGACTATAATATCGAGCTATACCGTTGATTTTCCGGTTTTAAATGTTTTAGGGCATTAAGCCTTTCAAAGTAGGTTTTGATAAAGTCTTGTCCGGCTCTAGTGGTGTGACCACGCCCTAACTAC